ACGCGCCTAATTAAAACTAGTCAAAGTTGTTTAATACATTATTTCTAAAAGCAAATTGCTCAAGTAATCTACTAAGCTCCCACTAAATTTCGCATCCATACTTAATTAATCCGATTAATTAAGTCGGCATAACCCACAATTTGTCAAAATCAAAATTTTGCAAAATCCGGAAAAATCGAGGTCCAACCTCGTTAAAATAATTACATAAATAATTTTAAAACGACAAAATTTTCGCAAAATACATAGCCCATGCATCGAAAAACAGCCCACACAAAACCAAGTGCCTAGCATCATGGTTGCGGCTGTGCTGTGCTTGGGCGCAGGCAGCCTGCCTAGCAAGGCATTGCTGCGCCTGCTAGCACCAACACGCATCATGCTTGCATGCTAGCATGCGCGCATGTGTGCTGGCAGGTGTGGCTGGCCTGCTGTGGCTTGCTACCTCGCTGCCTAGCAGCACTTGCGAGCAGTGCCCAGCAGCCACACACCACACACAGCAACACGCTTAGTGCACTACGCTTGCTCCCCACACAGCAGCAACACAGCGAGGTGGGAGCACCACCATGCGCATCAAGGCAGCCACATGTGGGCTGCGAGAGCAGCCCGGCTAGCCTTGGTAGTGCTTGAGTGCCTTTTGCCTCGATTTGTGCGCTTTTGACTCGGGATTTTAATCCCAATATTCGCGTGAGATAAAATTATTTCTAAGTTTATTTTAGAATCAATTTAGAGCAAAGTGAACATATAACAAGTCTAACTTAAATAAATTCAATTTTAATAGTGCACAAGCCTAAATTATTCAAGAACTATTATTTGAATCAATTTTAGGTCTAACTTGATGCAACAAAATTGAAGGGCTACATCCCTAATTAATTTAACCAAAATACAAATTAATAATGGATTTGACAAATGGGAGTTGGAAAAATAAATTAACCATCTAATGATAAAATTTTCCAACTTTCATACTTGTGTAAAATAACAAGATTACATATTCCAATATGAAGATTAATCAAAATTTTACTCACAAGTATTTGAACTTCATGGATTTTAATCAACCAAAATGAAAAATCCAAACTTTGTTCAATATGGAATTTAGGGTTAGAGTTCCAATCATTTAAACCTTTAAAGATTAGAACTTTAACATATTAGGAACTTAAAATTACACATTCACATCAAACATTCACACATTCTTGCAATTAATTTGCAAAATTTGTGAAAAACAAGTTTATGTGAAAAAGGCATATCAACTCAAGCACTAATTAAAACTCCATAATTATGCTTAAGGATATTTAAAATAGCATTAGAATGCAATAATGCATTTAATCTAACCTTGTAATGCTTGCATTAATCAAGGCTTAAAAAGATTTGAAATTTTCGTTGAAAAACGAAAAAACCCTAAAAACTTGGGTTTCTAGTTCGAATTTGGCTTCTAGATAATTCTCAAAGAGGGATAATTCTGTTTCATAATGTCGATTCCACCCAAAAATCACTATTTTTGAGCCAAAATCTGGGTTCGACAGCCAAATCGATAAAAATACGAGTTTTAAAATTAAATAAAACGAGCTTCTAATCTAATTAGAAAAGCAAAACCAGAAATTAAATCTTACTTTAAAACACCGTAATTAATAAAAATTGCAAAAATTAAAAGGAGCGTGGCTCTGATATCACTGTAGCGTTTCGTAGTGACCCACACTACGCGGAAAGAAACCCGCCAAGACCCGCCCCCATAATAAATGCAATTAACAAGCAAAACATAATTTAAAGCATGAGAAAGGATAAAAGATTATACCTTTGATGTGTGCTTCGCTCGCAAATCGAGCTCTTACTTCAAAAGCTCGAGCGTCACAAGTGTGAACTCCTCCAATGGCTCGTACCCACGAACCCGACCTGAATGGTCCAAGTCCCGAAGGTTAGTCGGGACCCGACCAATAAAAACTTGGAGTTTTATGAACTTAGAGGTTTTCTCACCTAATGGGAGATGCCTCATTGAGTTCTACTCAAGTGAATTCCCAAATGCCCAACCATTGGGTATTTATAGGGAAAATCAACTTGTCATCCCATTCATGATCAATGTGGGACAAATGCATTTTCCTACTAATTTATTTTAATCAAAACAAATTAATAAGCAATGCAATCAATGAGTTACAAGTGGCAAATGGAGGAAGATTGATTAGGTGAGGACCATTCCAAGAGGGGGGGACCATAGCCTTGGTGCTCAAGGCAATGCCCACAACTCTTGGTCCCCACACTCAAACCGGATCCTCCATGTAGTTGGGACAGCTGGCTGCCAAGGCAGCCTTGCTGGCGCCTGGTGCCTTGGCTGTGCTAGCAGGCCACCCAGCACTCGCATGCGCCTAGCCAGCAAGCTACGCACACCATGCGAGCTGCTGCTGTGCCATGGCATGTGCTGGGTGCTGCCCACCAACACTGCTAAGTGCTCGCCATTGGTATCCCCGCAGGATGCCCACCCCAGCCCTCGTACGCACATCACGCATAGCTAGCAAGGCCCAGCCCTGTGATGCTGCGTGCTTGCGAGAGGCTGGCTGCTGGGCGAGCGCCATTGCCTAGCACCATGCAAGGCTGCCAGCGCCTAGCACCACGCATAGCCTAAGCATGCTGCTATGCGATGCTCGGTGCGAGGCTGCGATGGCTTGCCGCTGCTATTGCCTATCATGCTGGCTAGGCTGCTAGCGCCCAGCACCACGCATAACATAGCATGCTGCTATGCGATGGTGCGAGGCTGCAATGGCTAGGCGAGCAATGCCAGCCCATGCCTTGCGCCAGCGCCTAGCAACCAAGGCCTAGCCTTGCGATGCTTTGGGCTCATGGCTTGCTAGCACACACGCAAGGCTACGATGCTTGCGATGTCTAGCTAGCTTGCATGAGCCTAGCACGCCTAGCATACTAGGCTTGCGATGGGTATTACCTAGCCTATCACTCACGTGGCTAGGCCTATGCGAGGCTACGGCTAAGCTCGTACTTGTAACTCGATTGATTTCATGTCTCGTTGAATTCTAAATTCGACTCGACTTGCGACGCTCGATCTCGACGCTCTAAGCTCGATATCCGACGTCTTTGTTCGTAAAACTCCGACGAATCATCAAAATCCTTCGGATTGATTCATCGTCTCGTATCGGTTTTTTCGATTAGGTGCGACCCAAAGGGTTCAGTTTAGATTAAGCTGTAATATTAATTATACCTTAATATTACTGATCGGAAGCGGCCTCCACCTAGCATTCCGATCACTTGACCTTACTGAAGAATTAACTCTGTAGTAATTCTGTACCCTCTATCAGAATAATACACTTGTTAGAAGGACACCATTCCTTTCAGTGTGCCAATCCTAGGTTTAGGTCAACCTAGGGCTGATTGGGCTTCCACAAGACTTTGGGCCTAGGTGACCGGTTTTTCCATTTGGCATGGGGGAGGCCACGTGTCGTGGCATAAGAGGTCCAAGGTGGACTAGTCAACACTTGACACGTGGAAGGCTCCAATTGGTCCATGTGGCAGACACTTGGCAGATCCTGAATGGTCCACTTGTTAGATGGTGATTGGTAGGGAAAAATCCCCTAATCACTACTAAATATGAAGTTGGTTTAAATTTTTCTCATAAGAAGTTTATTTATGACAACTCAAAGTTAAAAATAGGGGCTGTTATATCTTAGAGGATCATGAAAGAACTTTGTGGTGGGTTTAAAAATGTCAGGGACAGTAAAAATGACTTCAAAAATTTTTCTAGGGACTTGAAAGTTTATATCTCTAATGCTGATGTTGCAAGAGCAAAAAGTGAAAAGCAGTAAAGGGGGTTATTATTTTGATTACTGTGTTGATGAAAGCAGGCACTTGACACGTGTTTTTTGGGCTGATGCTATTGGTAGAAGAGATTATCAACTGTTTGAGGACTCTTTATCTTTTGATTCTACCTATAATGCAAATAAATACTCATTGGTTTTCTGCCCTTTAACTGGAGTTGATAATCATAAGAGATGTGACACATTTTGTTCTGCTTTATTATCTAAAGAAGATGTAGAATCTTTTGTGTGGCTATTTCAAACTTTTTTGAAGTGCATGGGAAAAGAACCCTCTTGCATAATCACTGATCAAGACCATGCAATGGGTATTGCCATACAAAAGGTTTTTACCAAGACTAAACACATGTTATGTTGTTTACAGTCGTGCCATGTTTTATGATTTTCAAGAAGAATGTCAGGCAGCCTGTTTCTCATGTGGTGTTGAAAGTTGTAATTCTCTATATGGAGATGGGGTGGAGTTTTCTGTAATTATTGATCATGAGAAAAGGAAAAACTTTGATGTAAATTTTGACTTGGCCATATATGAGTGCAGTTGTACTTGTAAAATGTTTGAGAGTCAAGGCATCTTATGTAAACACATTCTGTTTATTATGAAAGGCAAGTCTATACATGAAATTCCTGATCTTTATATCATGAATCATTGGAGAAAAGACATTCTGAAGAAAGCTTCTACCATAAATGTTGTTGTGGATGATGTTTCTAAGTATGATAATAAGAAGCAATTAGTGAGTGATATGTGGTCCAAGATTTTCAGTCGTGTGAGTTTATCTAAGCAATCTGAGGATGATTTATCTGAGCTTATAAGGACATTATCTTCATTTGAGGATCAAATGCTGACAAAGAATAATCTTGAAAATGTAACTAGTTCAAAAGAGGTGAAATATGCTAATATTCAGGTTTTGGTTAGGTCAAATGAAGTAGATGTAAACATCTTACCTCCAAATCAGTGTCTTAATAAAGGTTCTGCTAGAAGTTCAAAGCGGTTGAAGAGTGCAAAATAAATAGCTTCTGAAGAAAAATCCAAAAAGGGCAGCACCTGTAGAGCTCCTGGGTAATCTAGTGTTTCACGTGACAGTAGAAACTGTCTAAACAAGTAGTTCTTCAAGTATTTTACTTTTACATGTGTTCCATTTACTTTAATCTGTTATTTATTTATTTAACATTTAACTTGATTTACTTTTTTTTTTTGTGCAGGTGTTATTATTCTTGTACATATTTTTTAGGTATTTTATCTTTATACTTTTCTCAATTACTTTAAGTTGAAATTTATTTACTTTACATTGTAATTTATTTACTTTAATTTGTCACTGATTTTTTAGTTGAAGAAGCAATTGGTGAGCGATGTGTGGTCCAAGATTTTCAGTTGTGTCAGTTTGAGTTTATTTGAGCAATATGAGGATGATTTATCTGATCTTATTAGGACATTATCTTCATTTAAGGAGTAAATGCTGACAAAGAATAATCCTGAAAATGCAACTAGTTCAAAAGAGATGAAAGATGCTAATATTCAGGTTTTGGTTGGGTCAAATGAAGTAGATGTAAACGTCTTTCCTCTAAATCAGTGTCTTAATAAAGGGTATGTTGAAGAGTGCAAAAGAAATAGTTTCTGAAGAAAAATCCAAAAAGGGCAGAACCTGTAGAGCTTGTGGGAAATTTGGTGTTTCACATGACATTAGAAACTGTCCAAACAAGTAGTTTTTCAGATATTTTACTTTTACACGTGTTCCATTTACTTTAATATGTTATTTATTTACTTTAACATTTAACTTGATCTACTTTTTATTTTTGTGCAAGTGTTATTATACTTGTACTTTTTTTTAATGTATTTTACCTTTGTACTTTTCTTATTTACTCGAAGTTGAAATTTATTTACTTTACATTGTAATTTATTTATTTTAATCTGTCACTGATTTTCTGATTTTTATTTTTGTGCAATTATTATGATACTTGGAAATTTAAAGATGTTTTGGAAGATCAAGATATACTGAAAAAATATTAATGTTTTTTATTTATTATTATTATTTTTTATTTTTTATTTTTTTTTTTTTATTTTTTTATGTAATATTTTCTTTTACTTTTAATTGAGTTCCTGTTACTTTAACATTATTTTCATTTACCTTTTGATTGATTTCTTCTACTTTTATATCTAGCACCATTTTTCACACAGAATAATTCTACTACTTCAACTCAGAGATATAATATGTATTCTTCATAGAAACATGCTACTTAAACCTTCAAACTAATGTTTTGGATTAATATTATACAACTTAAAGTACTATTGCCTATGATATATTCAAATCTATTAAAAACATTTACAATTCTTCACATGCTTTTTGTGCTTTTTTCTCTTCCCAATCCTTAACATTTCTCAGTAGTTTCTCTTGCAATTGATTGTTATCATTGAGAACTAGGTCAAGTACTGTTTTTATATGATGGTGTGTCAATCTTTGAAATTCTTGTAAAAAACAAAAGATTAACTTTAGTTTTAATAAATTATGCTCTAAGTAATCCATATAACTTAAGGAATCTAAGGACTTCAGAAATAAGTATGGTAACTTACCTCTTTTATGGTTCCCAATCCTATCCCATTAACACCATCATACACCTTCATGTGCAGCATTAGATAGCTTCCCGAGTAATTTTCTTGTCTTTCTTTTTGGAATGGAAGTTCAATTATTCTCAGCTTGTAGGACAACATCTCAATTACCTTTGAATGCTTTCTTTTTTTAAACAACTTCTGCATTTGTATGATCTGCAATGGAATGAATATTAATGTAATATGATACATTGAAAAATAAATTTAATGACATTTTATAATCTATTGATGATTTACCGTTTCTAAGATAAAACACTGTACAGGCTCATATTCATCGGTGCTCTTATATAAAGTGTTGTCCAAATGATCAATTGTTTCATTTTTGAAGTTTATGACAGCAAGAAAATAATGATCTTCCTACTTAAGAAGTATAAATACTTGCACATAAAAAATATTGACACATATTTACTTTAAAACTGTTTTTTTTTTTTTTTTACTTTAAACATATATTTTCCTACTTTAAATATTTATTCTATATCTTACACATTCAGCTACATCCAAGTCCAATGATAGATCGTGATTTTGTCCAATCAATCCATAGTTTTTGCAGACTTGTTACTCCCTTTTTCCCATGTGCATTCAAACACATAGTTAAAGCATCATGCAATAAAATTCCCAAGTTTATTTCACATACTTATACAATGCATAGTTTTATATTATAAAAGTAAACGTAAAAAACTTACCATGAAGTCAAGTCCAAAGAAGAATTTGACCATGTCATTTTCAGACCTCTCTTTCTGCCTTTCATTATTATTGAGGTGGTTTGACCAAGCAGTGATCAGATTAGTTAAAGCTTTCCATTCATTAAGCAAAGTGTTACTATCTTCCCTGATTACAGGAAGCAAATCTACTACTTCGCTGTAGTGCTAAATTAAATTTTTACAAAACAATTTAATATATAATGCAACAGGAGTATTAGTTTATTTGAAAGTATAACACATACCTCTTGTTTGGAAAGTTTTCATCATCATTGATTGATAAGTAGTCAATCACTTGCTTACATTTCAAGATCATGTTTTCCATTACTTCCTTGTGTGTTTTCAAGAAATCGGAAACATATATCATATCTTTCACCTATTTCTCCTGCTCAAGTTTTCTAACTACTCTGAACCTTGAAACTTTTTCCACAAGACTTTTTCTTTCAGTGTTTATCTCTACCAAAGCAAGTGCATCACAGATTTCTACACGATACACCTTTCTCCTATTTGCTAAATCAAGGTCAGAATCAAAAGGGTCTCCAGTAAAACACAGCATATGCATCATTGTAAAAACACCACAATCAAGAGTATATTTTGGTGTTTTCCAATTGAACTTAACTTCATCAAACTCATAAAGTAGTATTTCATCATCTTCTTCATGATTTATTCTCTTTAGGAAGTTTGACATTTCCTCTGCCTATAAAATTTGTAAAGCAATATATAAGTAAAACAAATTTATAGTACAGTTTACTTTAAATAACATATGTATTACTTTAATGAGAACATAATTTACTTTATATTTTATCTTATTCTTTTTACAGGCATAATAATGTATACTTTTAATACAAACTTATTTACTTTAATAGTAATGTCATTTACTTTATATTAATAATAATTTACTTTTGAGAAATTAAAAAATATTACCACAAGAGATGCAAGAATTTTGTAGAAAGGCCTATTCCTGTCATCAAACTTCCTATTATCCAAGTATTGAATGGTGTCTTTCAACAAGTTAACCACTACCAAATTATAGTGGTTACTCGGACAGATTGGAACAAAGATCTGTCACTAAATTTACACTTATTTGTCTACAAATTCAAAATCATAATGCCCTACAATGTAATTTAATTGACATGAATTATAAAACATACCAACTGAGATGTCATAATTTTTTCCTTTGCATCACAGAGGCACATCCAATCATACCATGCCTGATTCAATTCTGCCGCGTGTGTTGAAGGAGATGGTATTTCTTTTTCATCTGTCTTTGGAGTTGGCTGGGAAGGATCTTGTAACATGAGAGACAGCTCTAGAGGTCTATGTGTATTAATGAGGACATAAAACATGTTAATTAGATCATATACATTTAATTATGTATTTAGCTAAACATATAATTTAATGCTTACATTGTGGTCAATGCCAAAGAAAAAGCATGATGGATCTTCTTTCAATCGTGAATCATTCATAAAAAATTACCAACATTGAACTATATTGGATTTTATCATTTGAGGGGGGGGGGGAGGCAGTTGGAGCTAGGGATACTGTGTCATCCCTTTATCATGAGAGGAGCTTCATATTTCACAAGCTCTTCATTGTGCACTTGTAAATGTTTATAAAGTAAATGAAATATTATATAAAGTAAATTAAATATTAACTAATGTAGTAGATATAATATTTTTAAAACTAAAAAATTTCATAACTTACTGTTTGAATGCACTGTACTTCACAAAGCAATAATCATCCACTACTTGATACAGCTCTAGCATTTCATTCATACTTGATTTGTTGCTTTTCATCCACTTTGAAACGAAATTAATTTCAACATCCTTTTCTCCACAATCTACATTGATGTTTATCTTTGAAGCTATCTCTTGGTGAATGTTCTTAAGCACAATGGTTTCTTCTGCTACAGGTTGTTTATCAGCATCACCTAAAATAAAACAGCAGATGTAGTTTTAAAGAAATCATACACTATCTACTTTTAATTGATTTGTGTTTCGAGGGTTTTTGATGTGTCCTGCGGGAGAGTTACAATTCCTAGTATGTGCAACCGACGCCTGTACCTGCAAAACCACAAAGACTCCGGTTGGTGGGAGCTCCGCCTCCGATGATCAAGTCAGTAACGTACAGGAGGTAATAAGGGCGGAAATAGTAAATACTCCTCGCTAATACAGGAGGATTCTGCAATTAATATTGCTCGGGATTTGTGTTTGTATTTATGGATGCCCAATAGATGAGGTCTGACCCACTATTTATAGTGGGGAGACCAGTACCCCATCTAGGGTTCAAAGGACACGTGTCAACAGGGGATTGGCGCCCTCTTGACCTAGGCTGGTTGCCACGTGTCACAAGGCCATTGGGCCACGTGTCTAGGGTAATTTTTACCCTAAACAATTTGTATTTACATTTATACAATATTTACTTTCTTTTGTTAACAACTGCTCAAAATCAAAGATAACAATTGAAATGTTAAATAAAACTAATCAAACAGTTATTTATTAACTTTTTACCAATTTTTATCTACTTCTGTCTTATTTCTATTTACTTTTATCTACAACTATTAAATTTAAAAGAAAACTACCCAAAGTTAATTTGAAGAAATGTACACCATTACTTTTTTAACAACCACATTAGCCTCTTTGGTTGCTTCCTTTGTGAAAGTCTCTTCAGCATCTTTGAGTGCCTTTTTACTTTGTTTTTTTTTTTTTTTTTTTTTTGACAGGTGGCTTATCTTTACTTGTTTTGTTCCTTGGTTGTTCACCATCTTCCTCACCATTATCACCATCATCTTTTGTAGCAGCAACAATATCCTTTAGGATACTCTCAGTGACTAGATCAATATTCATTTGGTTCTTCATGAATATCATCACCATCATCAGCTATATTGACTTCAGTATCTAGATCAATATTCTCAACATTCATTTGATGTTGATTCAAATCTTCTTTGTGTTTAGCTGCCTACTCTTGATAAGTATCGTAGAAAACATTTGTAACATCCTTCTAATCATCATACAACCTAACCACTTCATCAAAAGCTCTTTGCACCCGTGGGTCATCCAAAAGTCTATGTGTTTGAGTAACTACTTCAACTTCCTCTGCCAATACTGTATTTCTATCAACAACATCTCTAAGCCTCTATGTGATTGCATTGATGCGGTCAGCATGTAACATTGAAAATAGAGATGTATCTCTAAGCAATAGCATCAAATCCTCTTCAAGTTCCTGCAAGTTATAAACATTTTACAGTTATTAAAATTAATATACATCCATTTACTTTTTATTTATTAATGTTTATTTTTCATATGTCCAGGACCTTTTATGCCATTTAGCATTTACTTTCAAAGGTAAATTGTTTACTTTTAAAAGTAAATCATTTACTTTTTATTGGATGGACAACAATAAGTTTACAGTAAACATAATCAAATATTTCCAACATATACTTGTACTCACTTTTCATTAATATCTATTTACTTTTTACTTATTATTATTTACTTTTAAAGTTAAACTATTAACTTTTAAGAATAAAATTAGAAGTATAAAATAGAAGCAGTAAAAGTGACATAAAGTACTTACATCTCTTGCTTTTTCATGGATTTCAATATCTGAAAACAAAGTGCTCGGAATGTCATGTGTAACATATCTTCTTGCTGCAAAATGTTGAGATGCTTTAAACCTTCCTTTAGCACAAACTGGATAAATTTCTTTTTGCAATTCTCCCTGGCCAAACGA